CTGTTCAGGCGGGCGGGCGAAGCCGAGGGGAGGCTGCGGGGCGAGACGGGGCCGATAACCGGCAAACAGGGCGGGCTGGGGCCACTGGGAGTGCTCTGCAGGGATTCGGGAGAGCCAAGCTCCGTAAACAAGTGCTGACCCCACCCTCGAGATTCCCTGCTGCTAAAATGCCTCCCTTTAATGTAAATAACTTGCCCCCCTCAAGCTCTTTTCAAGATATTATTCATGGAGACCTAAAGTCTGTTAGCTCTGAAAATGGGAGGAGAAGTAGAGGAAAAAATCCCAATTAGTGAGACCAGATAATACTTGTGTAACTTGAACGGAGTTTTATTTCTCTGCTGAGGTACACAAGCTTGTTTAGAATAAACTCAGTTTTTGCAGTTGAAGTTACTAAACACAGAACAATTTTTCTAACTACAATAATAAGGACAGAGAACATGAAGATTCAAGTTTTGCTACATGATGTTCACTGCAATTGCCTTTGGGGTTAAGTCTTGTTTTCCAGATCATCTAAGGAAATGTGCAGCCTTTTGAATTAATCTGTATTACTTTCCACTTCCTCTAAGACTTAGCCAAAATTACTGGAAATTGTTCCAACACATTTGCCAGCACACTGTATTGTGTCTTCCATAACTGAGATTGTGCAGCTTTGATATTAGACTGAATGAACTATCTGATGAGAAAAAAAGGACTGATTTTTGTCAAAAAATAATATAAAGTATTTATGAAGAATGGAGGCAGGGTATTTTTCCAATACAGTTGTGTGACATACAAAGTCACTATACAAGTGTTCCAGACAGCTGTGCTCATGCTGGTGTTGCAGAATGACCCAGAACTTTTAAAGTGCTTTTGTTCCACTATGTAAAACTGGAATATGCGAATATCATAACTATTAATTTTTTTTTGAATGGCAGAGCTTAGAAAACATTGTAGAAGAACAGCTGGACTAGCTATGACACGTTTAAATATTACACTCAAGCACATGGTACAAGAGCCCCAATATTTTCCTGAGCTTCCCCACACATATGCAAAGTACTTATTAATTGCAACATATTTTACTAATTTAAGAAAAGAACCATGCCTTGGCAAGATGCATCGAAGGAACAGAAGACAGGCTTCTTGCAAAACAACAACAATGAAAAAATAATTAGCTTCTCTCGACAATTCAACTTAAATTTTACCAAACCTGATAAAAGAGATATCAAAGAGTACAATCAAGTTATTTATCGTATGATCCATAAGGAGGCAGAGATGATATTCAACCATCAGGGTAATTATCACAGCATAAGCTTGTTCTACAAAATGCAACAGAGCAACATGAAACAAGAGCTTTAAGCCTGCTGGGTCTCCACAGCATGAAGTCAAGTCACCAGCATCTCCAGGGCTTGTTCCAGCCCAGCTGCACACAGCTTCTCTCACACAAACTTACCCTGGTCAGCAGCAGCCCTGGAAACCAGAAACTCTGAACTAATAAACACAGATAACTGCTACCAGAGATGAAGTTAAGTGACAACCCCCAACTGTCCTTCTCCCCATGAATGACTCTGGGTTTTATATCTCACACTGAAAGGATGTGTTGCTAATGGTCAAAAGAGCACAATCTGTATGTTTTGAGCTCAAATTCAATGAGTGTGGTTAAAAGACAAGATTTCCAACATTAGTGATCTGGGCTCCTTACCAGCACTGGCAAAACTGTAGAAAACTTCATTATGTTCATTGTCACCTCAGGAAATAATATTTTTCTGCCTTAAAGTGAAAAAGTTGGATGACCTTATACATGAAGAATGTTACAAAGTGCAAAAAAAGCATCAGTTCATTCAAAACATTTCCAGTGTTTGGTTTCTTGTAATATCACACAAAAAGGAAACACTATTCCTATCAATGCTGCTATGTATCATGTTAACAGCTCTATTTCTGCACTTAACTCTTGGAGCTGGCCAAACTGTATTTTCATTGTGTTTCATCCCAAATCACAAGGAACAAACATTTCCAAAACTTCCAATGAAGCAAAAAGTGCTTGGAAAAGAAACTTTTTGCTTAAAACCTGTGGCTAGTTCTGCTGTTGCTGTCAGAGCACAGAAAAGCTGTGAAGCAGCACAAATTTGGAATATATACTTATATAAAAAAAATAAAAAGATAATTTAGCAATGTAAGTATACCTCAGGCCTGAAGTAATGGAAAAGACTCCACTTGTACCAGCAAATATTACTGCTGCTCCAGCAGGCACGTACACTGTGATTATCACAAGGATAACCAGTTAAACTGTTTCCTGATGCTCTAGAGAGTTGCCATGAAACGATGGAGAGGGAGAGTACACTGCTGCCACTGGGCACCAAATTCCAAAGGCTCCTCACCAATGCTGCAATAGAACCTTTCCCATCAACGTTCAGGAACAAAGGAAAATGATCCCTAAAACAGTGATCCAAGGATAACTGAGAGCTGTTCAGCTGTAGCGTAGCCTTCAAGATCAGTCTCACATTCCATCTCTGCAGATGATTAGAGATCCATGCTTTACAGTTACTTCTCCATGCTTTAAAGGAATTGCTGAGATCTCTGTGAAAGCAGTTTGAGAAGGTGAGTGACAATAACAACTAACTG